TTTTATGACAATAACGTTTGCATTAATTCTTCCCCATTGACCATCCATTTATTCCCGATTTATACGCGTATATATGAGCACATGACCGAGAGTTTACTTGTTGGCTATGAGACCCCGTGTTTGAATTTCACCGTGATCGATTTGTTAGGAAAGTGATGTTATCCCTGTCGGAAGGTGATGCCAGCACGCAGCCTCGTTGAAAGGTGACTGAAAACATATCACGGGGTAGCCCAAGCCTAGCGAGTGGAATTTGGGTTGATGGAACCGTTCGGAAGCCTTCGATGGTTGTACTAGCAGGAAGTCGCAAGTCATCGTGAACGAGGGTTTGAGCATAATGTTCTTGTTAAAAAAAAAAAGATCACGCCAGATTAAGTGTTTTTTTTCAGAAACTACAACTAATGGCCAGTTATTATAGTTGCAGTATAAACCAGAGGTGGGCTCTGTAGGCGATTGTGGGAAGTACTTTGACGGGGGTCGGTAAGTGCGACACTGAGATCCGTAGAGGTATTAGGATGGCCAAGGATGCATTCCAAAAGCTAGGCAGAGTATTGCGAGACAGGAGGATTTCTTTGGTAACAAAGAAAAGAATATTGAGCTGTTACGTAACATCTGTTTTTCTTTACGGCAGCGAATGTTGGACGATTTCCTCAAAGACGAAGAAAAGACTCGAGGAGACGCATGTCTGGTTCTGCAGAAGGATGCTGAGAATATCATGAACCGAGCGTGAGCAACGATGTCTTAGAGAGGATGCAAATAAGGAGGAAGCTTACAGTTAACATCAGGCAGAGGCAGCTGAAGTTCCTTGGACATATAATGAGGAAAGAGGGCTTGGAAAATCTGATACTCACGGGTCGAATAGAGGGAAAGAGAGACAAGGGAAAACAATGCATGATATACTTAGCGGTCTTAAGCGAGTGGATGACAGAACGTAGTCTGGGGGAGGTGGCAGAGGGAAGGAACTTGTTGAGAGCTGCAATGGATAGAGGGAGGTGGAGAGCCATGATCGCCTACGTCCTACACGGTACATAGAAAGAAAGAAAGGCGTTTGTAATAGGGATTTGCTCTCCTCCCTGGCACAGGAATATATGCGGAAACGCGTAACCGGATATTATTAAACGGGCGTGTGAATGTGTGTCTGTTTTAGCAGAGTTTCTCAAGTTTTGACCACAAATCCTATTATTCTCAACTTGTGCGTCCACTTCAAATTTAGCCTTTGTGAAATATCCCCTTTCTTTGTTTCTCTGACATGATGATGCGATATTTGTAGATTGGCCGGCATTATATGTACCCGCAAAAAAAAAAAAAAAAAAAAAAAAAAAAAAAAAAAACAAAAAAAACAAGAATTGACCCAAATTATTTAAAATATCCAAGTTCTCACTTACTTATTTTGCTTTTAAATTTATTTTTATTTCTGTATTGCATCATCCTAACTTTCAAAGAATCTCCGCTGATATTCCAAGCAGTTTTAGGTGAATTATCACCCCACCCACCTACTGCTACCAAGAAACTCACCCATATTCTCGGATATTATCTACATTCATAAAGAAGTAGTTATGTTGGAAGTTGTCAAGGTTGAAAATGGGTGCAATACATTGTTTTTTCTTGTTATTACTGCCTGAGAGGCAGTTGAGTGGGGAAGTGGTTTGCCACAAGATACATACTAAAAAGTCTGTGATTCGTGCGTGTTTGCGTGGTGCGTCCGTCCGGCCGGCGCATAATGATTTAAGTTAATCTGAATAAAAATAATATATTAAGTGAATAAGATATGAAGTTTTTTGTATAGTAAGTATAATTATTTGAACATTCTTCAAACAGACAATTTTTTAATTAATTTAAAAAATTAAAAAAATTTAAAGACAGACACAAAGAAATCCCACTTTGTTGTTTCCTCCAGTTGTTTGTACAGTAATTATTTATATTTCAGCTTTCTTTAAACAAACAATATTTTAAATATTTTAAAGACATTTTTAAGTTAATCTGATTTAAAAAAATATTTTAAATGAATAAGATTTAAAAATACGAGTTTTTTTTTTATACAGTAAGTATTTTTATTTGAACATTCCTCAAACAGACAATTTTTAATTAAAATATTTTAAAGTTAAAGACAGACACAAAGAGATCCCGATTTGCTGTTTCGTCCAGTTGTTTGTAGAGTAATTATTTAAAAAATACTAGCTATTTAAACAATAAGTAATTTTAATTCAACATTTTTCAAATGTTTCATAACCTGAACCTTCATTGATCCAACGGGCTACGGGTAGTCTAGTGTATAATAAATGGGATGCGTTTTTAAAAACTTTTCAGTAAATGATGTTTTCGTATCTAGCATATTCGGGCGTGTTGTCAACGTTACTATTATCAGTGAAGAAAATGGGGTCGACGATCAGGGTTCAAATCCCGTTATAATCTATTGTTGTTCACTTTCGCACAAATGCCGTTTTGGAATACAGGAATCGATTGCTTGACCCACACCTCAATAAAAATGGGTTAGTAGAATAGACTGTGGTTACTAGAAATAGATTGGCGACAGTCTTGAAGAAAGATTCTGGATTCCATATCGTGGAGATATGGCAGACAACGGGAAGCCACGGCACTATCTTTCTCAAGAAATCATGGCCGTTCACAGATAATAAGGAAAAGGAGTCTTGGAGATGGACTGCTCTGAGTTCCAAATCGTATAGAAGAAATCACGCCTCTATGTTTCCTAAGAAATCATGGCCCTTCACAGATAATAAAGAAAAGTAGTCTTGGAGATGGACTGCTCTGGATTCCAAATCGTCAAGAAGACAACGGGAAACCACTCCACCATCTTTCCTAAGAAGTCATAGCTATTCTTGCACATTAGGAAAAGTGAAACAGTTTAGATCTATGCTTGCATACGTTCTATGGCATTTTAAAAATTCAACTTGTGACTATAAAATTATATATAAGATAGTATTTTAAATTATGCTTTTGAAATCATTTGATAAAAGCATTAAGATGCAAAGGGTTACTGAGTCCGAAAGGCAGAGTAAAGGAAACTGAGAAAATGTTACCAAGGCGAAAGGACAGTAACAAGAACAGGTCTCAAAGAGACAGAAGATGACTATTGACATTGCATTTAAATTTTTAAAGATTATAGCTGACGGCACAGCAAGAAACCGGAAAATAGTTCCACAGACGAGAAGCGCGAAAGAAGAAAAACTTAGAATAGAACTTGCGGTCACATTTAACAATTTCAACAGTAAGATGATGACACCTAGCTGCTAATCTACTACTGCGTTTGATTTCTTAAAAATCGAGTGTATACCGATGAGGAAAGTTCATAAGAAAAAATACCTATGAAAATATGAGAATAGGCACAATGAAGCTATGTGGGAAAGTGATTGAAGCGGAGATGCCAGGTCCTGGCAGGTAAAATTGCGGATTCTTCTTTTGATTTTGTCTAGAATCTCTAGATACAAAGCAGAAGCACCAAACCAGGTGTGGCAGCAATATTCAATGTGCGGATGGGTATAAACGTACAAGATAGATTTTGAAAAAAAAAATGTCTAACACGATGTAATTAACAAGATTTCTTGAAACAGACTTAGCAGTTGACTCGATATAATCATTACAATTCATGTCGGTCGAAAACGTGAGACGAAGATGGTTCAGTGCATTACTGTACTGGACGCTAGCATCTGCCATGTTGATGGACGGCAAAAAAAAATCCTTTAAGTCGGAAGCAATTTAGAAAAGTGCTAAAAAAATAGAGGCATCTACACAATAAAATAATACAGACATCTACATAATAAAACGTAATATCGCCTAGTAAAAAAATTTAGAGCCATCCACCTAATAAAAAAACAGAGACATCTACATAATAAAACAGCAAAGCCATCTACCCAATAAAACAATAGAGACATCTACCCAATAAAATAATAGACATCTACATGATAAAACGTAATATCGCCTAATAAAAAACTTTAGCGCCATACACCTAATAAAACAATAGAAACATCTACATAATAAAACAATAGCGCCATTAACCAATAAAATAATAGAACCATCTACTTAATAAAAAATAGATACATCTGCATAATAAAACGTAATATCGCCTAATAAAAACTTTAGAGCCATCCACCTAATAAAACAATAGAGACGTTTACATAATAAAACAATAGAGCCATTTATCCAATAAAACAATAGAGCCATACACCTAATAAAACAATAGAGACATCTACATAATAAAACGTAATATCGCCTAATAAAAAACTTTAGAGCCATCTATCTAATAAAACAATAGAGACATCTACATAATAAAACGTAATATCGCCTAATAAAAACTTTAGAGTCTAAATGTCGAACCAATAGTCAGTTCTACAAAAAAACAAGAAGATATTTAAAAATAGCCTAGGCTGACGTAAGGTTGCAACAATGAAGCAGCTGTTGAGGCAGGGATCGAACTCCTGGACGTGGAACAAGTTCCCTAATCACTACAAATGACTAATAATACAATAGAGCCATCAATCGCTAACTCCTTCGGCACGGCGCGTCCTCACAGAATGATAGATATGCTATGAAACAGATCGATAGACAAACTGTCACAGAAATACCTACGCTTAAAATTCTGAGTGAGATTTATATCGATACATGAACATATAAATATCAACAATGATTGATCGATAGAACAAAATTGATCGAGTGTTGTCAGCAAAATATAAAGAATACGACAGCATTATACAATTAAAATCTCCTTATCTTGTTTGATTTATTCATTTGTTTTCTACGGTTTATCAGCCCTTTTCTGGTTATTTAAAGCCAGAAAATTCTTTTAGATTGTAAGATGTTTTTTTAGCTTATAATGATATAATGATACAAGTCTTACTAATTAACCCATAGCTGGGGAGAGAAAAGGTGGATTCATACATTTCCCAAGGGTAATATAAGCGAATATAACGAACCTAACGGGAATTGAAACTCGGTACTTCAATTAAAAATTCCGAAGCATTATTTATTACACCACCCGCGCATCTGAGATTACGACACCTGTTATACCATAGCGATCACTCATCTACGTACTGACTAACCTCGACGTTGCTTAACTTCGAGGATCGTACGAGAACCGGTGTTTCAACATGATGTGGCCGTAAGCCTCCTCATGTTGAGCACCATATTTAAAAAGTATATTTGCTTTTAAAAAGTTCTCTTCCATAGACGAGTGTTTTATATAGAAATGAAAATATATACTTAACTTACATATGCATCAAAACCCATGAATACCTTTTCATGTTCAATCTTCCGCGAATTTATTTTAGCGAATTATTATTATTTTTTTTTTGAATATACGCTTTTAAACAGGGCGCCGAAGTAAAAAATTTAGAGCCACCCACCTAATAAAAAAACAGAGACATCTACATAATAAAACAGCAAAGCCATCTATCCAATAAAACAATAGAGACATCTACCCAATAAAATAATAGACATCTACATGATAAAACGTAATATCGCCTAATAAAAAACTTTAGAGCCATATACCTAATAAAACAATAGAAACATCTACATAATAAAACAATAGCGCCATTAACCAATAAAATAATAGAACCATCTACCTAATAAAAAATAGATACATCTGCATAATAAAACGTAATATCACCTAATAAAAACTTTAGAGCCATCCACCTAATAAAACAATAGAGACGTTTACATAATAAAACAATAGAGCCATTTATCCAATAAAACAACAGCTATCTACCCAATAAAACAACAGAGCTATCTACCCAATAAAACAACAGAGCTATCTACCCAATAAAACAACAGAGCTATCTACCCAATAAAACAACAGAGCTATCTACCCAATAAAACAACAGAAACATCGTCAGTGATGTAAATTGACTTGATTCATCAGGGAGTTTCGGGTCTTTCAACATCATACAGCCCATCACCAAACCAACCCCAATCAGGGTAGATCAAACCCTGAACCCCACTCCGCAATAAAACGCGAGCAGAGACTCTGGCCTTTACACTAAATTGAACGAAAGTAAACCACGTTTTCCGCTCACTTGATTGGATGTTCGTAACAACCAATCAACTGCTTGGATTGAATTTTTAAATGGTCCACCTTGGGGCTGGATGGATAGCACCTTCAGTGGATCATCGAGGAGGTAATTTAACATTGTTAAACTTAAACACTCTAGGGCTTTTGCCAAACAAGATTTAGGGACTTATTCTAATAATTTTACGGTTTCGGTTTGTTAATTTTCTACTGTAAAATTCTGTAATTTAAAAACTACTTCTAAACATTATAACATTTAAATGATTATTTTAGCCAAGTATCATTACTGAAGAAAAAAAAGACATACACTTGGTAAAGGCTGGAGGAGAAAACAAAACGAAACATTGTGATAAAAACAACAGAGACGAGGATAATAGTCTGAATATAAATAATGTAAAAGCCGACTGCTGTTTCCAACGTGGCCGATTGGTTAGCACGTTCGCAATCTGACCACGTAGACACGAGTTCGAATCTAATTCGGTTATCAGTACAGAAAGAGAAGCATGCTATTTCTTTTTTTTAATAAATATCGTTCAAACTAAATCCTAACATTATTACGGGTCAGTTATCGTTTTTAAGGACGCATTCTCAAGTTTTTCAACTAATTATTTTCGTTTTTAAGTCTTCACAAACATGACGTATCATTTTAACTGTACACAAATTATAACGACATCCAAAGAATAACATGCCAAACGATGACTAGGAAAATAAACTAATTAAATACACTATATACAAAATCTCCGACCGAAGGTAGCGATGGATAGTGAGTAGAAAGGACTAAGTATAAACTAAAAGAAGACAGAATATATGGTCATCAGTAAGAGGAAGAGCCCGAAATGCGATTTGAAGGTCGAGAACACTAGAATCAAGCAGACGAGAAAGTTTAAATATCAGGGAAGCGTCTTGACAGAAGACGGTAAGTGCGACACTGAGATCCGTAGACGTATTGGGATGGCCAAGGATACATTTCAAATGATGGGCATGCGAGACAGTAGGATATCTTTGCTAACAAAGAAAAGAATAATGAACTGTTACATGACATCTGTCCTTCCTTACGGCAGCGAATGTTGGACAATATTTCGGCAGCAATCCTTCTTTTATGCAAGTTTCATTAAATACGACAGATAAGGTGCTTTGATTCAGTTTTTTTTTATATAATTTCTCCTGTGATTTTATAATGTTTTTCTACTCAGATGATAAATTATACAAAAACTGTTCAAATGTTATATATTTCCGAGCACTTTCGGCTATACATTTAGCCATTTTCAAGGATGAAATGTATTAACTGTTAAATGAAAATAGATTGCTGTATGTATGTATTTAGTATTATTTTCAAAACACAGTCAACATATTGTGTCCATGTTCATAGTTGATATTACTGAGTGTTATTTTTTGCTTTTATTAATAAGGCTTCCATTATTTTTAGACTTTTTTACATGAGTATTTAAATGACACCTAATTGAGCTATGGTCAGAAAGATGTAGTGTGAGTCTTCTTGTTAAACATGTGGTGTGGCCAATATAATTGTTTACGAATTTTGATTGATCAGTAACACAATTCTTTAATGGACATTTAAATTCGTAAATAATATTTGTTCTATCTAATTTATATATATATATATATATATATATATATATATATATATGAACAGTATTTGTTGTCGTATATTAATAAATATTTACTTTGTTACTTTAATAATAATAATATAACATAACAGATCAAATAAAATATTAATAATACAATATAAAATATTAGAATTTAATTAATAATACAAATTAACATATATTAGAATTTAATTAATAATATAACATGACATAACAACTTCAATATAAATCATATAAAACTAATTTCGAAGAGAAATTTAATTTCGAAGAATTTACAACTGTAACTGAAAAAACGAAGACGGAAGCAAAAGTAAAAATTCATGAACGTGCGCCTGTAAAATCATTAATGTACACGTTTGCAAAAAGGATTGAAAAAGACGCAGAATAAGGTGAAAAAAATGGGAAATATCACTTAAAAACAGAACCCCTTGAAGAATAATCATTACCAAGAAACTTCGAGGTCGGGGAAAACGACAAGATGAAATTGATATTAAAGTTAAGTAATCTCTCTCTCTCTCTATCTATCTATCTATCTATCTATCTATATATATATATATATATATATATATATATATATATATATATATATAGGAAAATATATGTTGTGGTCTTCAGTAAGTGCTTTTGGGAATGATTTTTAGCAACGCAGTAGAGTAGGAAATTTCTGCTGTTTCTCAGGCAGTAAACCTGAAATAATAATAAGATTTTGTATAAGAGAAATACAAAATCTTTCAATTATTTCGTAGGACGAATATTTTCTGTGAAAATTACTCGGACATTCAGGCCGGTAAATGTTATTTAATACTGTTTATTATAAACAGAGCATTTACTTAAATATTTGTATCTATAAAATATTAATATATATATATAGTTTGTATACCATTATAATATTACTTTCACATACTTAAATATAGTAGTATGCTTTATATAAAAATAAAAAATACTTAAAGTTTATCATTCATAGTAACAATAACTAAGGTTATATACATATGGATAGTATATATATATATATATATATATATATGGCTATAAATAAGTTTATACATATATATTTTGAATTGAGAGTTGTCCTTCTCATAGACCTGTTGCTATCCATGGCTATAGAACCCAGTCTGTACTGCTATTTACCTACAGCTGGATAGTGAAGAAGAGGATTAATACTTTTCCCAAATGTATTAGCACGTAAGTGAATGTAATGGATTCGACTGAAATTTGAACTCGGCCCTCCGATTCCTCAATCTGAGTCGTTATCCACTACTCCACCGTGCCTGTCTCCCTGCCCCCCTCTCTCTCTCTATCTATATATCTATCTATCTATATATTCGTTGTCCTCTTATTACCGAGAAGTAAAAAACAAAACTCTCACTCTCTCTCCCTCTCTCTCTCTCTCTCTCTCTCTCTCTCTGTATATATATATATATATATATATATATATATATATATATATATATATATATATATATATATATATATATATTCGTTGTTGTCCTCTTATTACCGAGAAGTAAAAACAAGAACAAAATCTACTTCCATACCTGATGATGTCTGTAGGAACAGACGAAAGCTTGTAAAAATTAAAAAAGACCTTATGCAACTTGAATTTATAAACAGGGATCATATCATTCATATACAAGTTCGGGGTTGGTGTATCTTATTTATATTGTTTGCGATGATGTATTCTCGCCATTTAAATCATTAACCTCTATATTTGTTTTTTGTATGAATGATTCATGTAATTATAAACTGAACTGCACCTATAATCGAAATATATATATATATATATATATATATATATATATATATGGAAAATAAAACAATATTTAAAAAAAAAAAAATCCACATTACAACCAAAAACTTTTTGCGGCACCTCCCTTCTTTTTAATACACACAATTTTCTCTCGTTGGAACCACTATGATCTCTTATATATATATATATATATATATATATATATATATATATATATATATATATATATATATATATATATAAACTAGTTTGCGTACCATTATAATATTACTTTCACATACTTAAATAAAGTAGTATGCTTTATATACAAATAAAATATACTTAAAGTTTATCATTCCTAGTAACAACAAGTTTATATACATATGGGTAGTATATATATATGTTTTTATATATATATATGGATATAAATAAGTTTATATATATATATATATATATATATATATATAGAGAGAGAGAGAGATAGAGATAGATAGATAGATAGATAGATAGATAAAGCTTCCTAACCATAACCCTTACTCCGGTGGGTGCTGCTGTATTCAGTAAAATGCATGGAAATTATAGAGACAGGTGTCTGAAAAGGCTGTCTTTAGAGGGTGTATCGGGAGTGACGAGATATCTGAAAGCTAAATAAAAGACAAAAAAAAAAAAGAAGAGATTTTTGCTTTGCAGGTAGGCTAGCAAGGAGGTAGAGGATACATGGAGCGAGTGACAAGAAAACAAAAAAAAAATCCAATAGCCGATGTGAAA